ACTTGGTATTTTCATCCTACCACATAAGGAAATGCAAAATCCAAATATGGAATGATTATGTGCATAAGCGTCCTCTAATAATAAAAACCAACATGGCTGTCACCAGGGTTTGACCGGACTCCACACAAAGAAGTTCACTGATTATGTTCTAAACATTTTGGATTTTGGCATTCCCACGACTTATCCTTGGAAGGAAAAGATGTATAATAATAAGGTTATTACGAGGATACCTCAAAGTATGAACTATGACAGTGCGCCGTCACAACAACCTCTGCTGTAGGTATCCTCATAATAAACTCATATTATTAATTTCGTCTGTGGAAAATGTGCATTGATGAAAATGTGCGTCAATTTGTTGGACAAGCAGACTGAAATTTCATTTGGTAATCTAACTTTGGGAGCTGTCATCGTATGTGGGAACCATCAGTAAGCTGTTCTCCTTTTCATTTTCTCAAGATGGTACCTGGTGCAGGGGGAGTGCAGACAATGCAAAGAATACCATTGCCTGGGGCAGAACTATTGGAGGAAGAGCCACTCTATGTTAACGCTAAGCAGTATCATCGGATTTTAAAAAGGAGACAGGCAAGAGCTAAACTAGAAGCAGAAGGAAAAATTCCCAAAGAAAGGAAGGTAGGACAGTACAATAATGAGTATCCATACTGGTATTCACCATGGAGATATGCATTGTTATTCAGTTCGTAGAATCTTGAAGTTTCTATTTATCATATTGATGTGTTCGATATGTCTGTTGGACGCTGGTTGACAGTACCTGGCTGTCTATACTTGACATGGTTGCTATATGCATACTATGCATAGTCAAAGAATTTGCAATATTTCCTACCCACACTACTACAGTCTAGATAGAAAGGCAGCACTGATGGAGGCGCCATGCTCTCTTAAAAGTGTCTTATCGGTAATTGGGTTCTCATTTTTCCATTTATATTATTATATTATGATAATTAAACAATTTGATTTATACTTTTCAGAAATATTTACATGAATCACGACATAAACATGCGATGAACCGTGTCAGAGGAGATGGTGGAAGATTCCATTCTCTCATAGAAAATGAATCTGCGGATGGAATCGGTCTAGATGTAGCACAGGTAAACCAATGAGACATTCAATTATTATTGTGTGATATAAAAAGAGAAAAATCTTGAATTTTCACATTTTCAAGGTTATAAATACTTAAAGGTTTTGAGTTTTTTTGTAATTGCCTTTGTTTATTGCATCATTTTATCCATTTGTTGCTTTGTAGATTTATTTTCTTCAACAAGCTAAGTGAAGTAACCGTATGTAGTTTTTCAGCTCTGCAAGAGTGAGCTTTTAACATAATGAAAATACAGTAGAACGTTGATTATTCGGACGTCGATTATCCGAAATGTTCGGTTATTCAAACCTACTGTGTGTCCCCCAAAGTTTGTATGCAGGTCTGGCTGTGGTCCGTATAATACAAAAGTCAACTGTGAACAATAAATACTACAGTCGTCTTGTGTGATTTCCTGGTGCAACACTTTCAATAAAGCTATTATCAACATGTAATCCGACGTCTTTCACGTGTACGTTCATTGTTTACAGTGTCTGCGCAAACAATGAAACGAATTACAGTACCCAATAATTTCCTAAATTCAGACAAGCCTTATTAC